AAGAAAAAAAAAGATTGAATTTGTTTGATTATGCATGCGAAAATAAATCTGATTATTTGTATAGTAGCTCAGGAAGAAAAAAAAACAATCTGTGTAATATAATTTGTCTTTTTTTTATTAAAGAAAAACATTTTAAGTTGACTTTCATGTAAGCTATTTCCACTCCTTTACTCCGTACCTCTGTGTATGTGAGTTTCTCCTCGCTGATGTCCTCCTTCTGATGGTGCTCCAGGATGCTGTTTTGTTCCTCCACGATCCTCCTCGCCGTGTCCTCTGCGATCTTGCAGATGGTGCTCAGAGCCTCCTGGTCGGGGCTGATCGGCCTCACGCCTTCCAGGCTCAGTTCCCGACTGATCTCATCCCACACCTCACCGACCTGCAGCACCACAAGAGACAGATGTTGATGTTTATCTCGGTTTATGTCCTCTGCATCTGAAACCTTTAAGAGAGCTTCAGACTTCTTTACTCCATGTGACTAACGGTTATTTATAGATGGTTTTCCTGACAGACTTTCACTGCCTGAGTATCCAAAACTTAAGCTGCTGGTTCAGCCACAGTAAGACAAAATAAGTTGGTCCCTCAGAGTTCTCGCTCTCTGTATTTTGTTGAACGAGGAATTTTGTACTTTCACTTTGAATATCTCTACTCTACTCACAGCTAAAGCTTCATTTTAATTTCAGGTTTGAACAAACTTTTGAACAGATTGTAAGTCTGAGCAACTATTATATGAAGCATCAACAGTATTTTCTCTTCACTTTTACCTTAAAGTCTAGATATCTCCTGATGATGGTCAGAGTCACATAATCTTTTCCCAACAATCCAGGAAGATCCTGAAACCCTGAAAAAGAAAAAGTCACAAATACTACTGATTGCTTTTTAATATAACAATATTAGCTATGCCCAACAACTGAATGTTTTGAACAGAACATCATGATATCATTTTATTACTCTGCTATTTCAAAACTTCAAAATATCTTCAATCAATAAGTGATACATTTCATTTTAAAAAAAGCCAAATTGAGACTGAATATGATTTGAAAGGCTACAAGAAGCAACATGTAAAAATAGCCTTTTGTTTTACAACCTTCTGGATTTTGTTTTAATAGTATTTATTAATAAAAATAAATACTAAATAAATAAATATGTAAACTGGTCTATAGGAGGAGCTACAAAGAAATTGGGCTAATCAAATAATCTAATTACAAAATCTTCTTAATAAATACTTTACATTTAGTATGAAACTGAATAATTTGTTTGGTTACCAATTTTGCAGAAGACGGAGTAAATCTTCAATCGCAGGTTCTCTGACATCTCCAATACTGCAGCACTCGGCACGTTAGCAGGAAATGAAAGCTGAGCTTCATCCAGCTGGAAAA